TACTGGTTTGTACAAAGGTTCGGATAGCCTTGGATTCAATTTAGCTTATTTCCACGTTTCGCTTGATTCTTGAAGCAATCCCCCTGAAATGGCTTCTCTACTTGCCATTGAGTTCGAGATTGCAACTATTATCATTCCAGACTTTGAGAACGTCACGAACAATTGGCACTAGTTCTTGTCACATCCACTCGCGGTTTGTGGTTTTCCTCCTTACTAAGAGACTTGCACTAATAACCAAATCATGTTGTATGCCAACTTGGCGAACGATCTCAACTTCCAAAATCCAAATTTATATCGTCCGAAGAGTGAAGATTTGACTCACTTTCTTTTCGATGTTGCCTAACATGCTATTAAGCGAGCTGCATTGATTTAACTTCTCACCCTCTGTCACTAGAAATCGAATAAACTTATTTAAGTCGAACTTATTTTACAGAATACTAGTGATACCGTTTTGACAGAGGGTGACTGCATTCCATCACCTCTCTTAGGGCGTTTTGTTCACCTCTTCCTCTTCACAGTCGATTTCTTTCCTCTTTCCTTTTAGCCATCGAAAAGATTAAGCGCGATATTGTTTTCGCCGCCAGTCTCTACCTCTAGGCTCTATCGATGTTTTTGTACAGCATTTGTTACTATAGTTTATTCTTGCTTGACTTCTTAAAATACACCAATGTTTGCAAGGGAAGTATAAAAGGGAAACTATTCGCAAGCCTGTGATTTGGTGAAAAAGTGGTTATAGTCCAATCGCAAGATGAGCTGGGAGACATGGCCAGCGGCACCGCCGCCCTTCATTCTTGCGATATAACCCACGCGTGAGGCAGCAGTGAGAGCGGTATAGAGCGTGGAAGCCAGGTGCTCAAAATCTGCCGCTGTCTTAAGTGAATCACTGCATTGGCGTCGACGACAGACGTAAAGTAATCGTAGTAGGATAGAGTGGAGTCGCGGATGATGCAACAGTGTCTGAGACTCCAAATCCCCCAGGAAGGCTTCATGAAGAGCCTCTACGCAGCCGAGATCCTGACCTCCTGAGTGATTGCCGAAAGCTTTCAAAAGTCGTTCAAAGGCTGACGCAATCACATCAATCTAGACGAAAAAGAAGCTATATCAGGTTGGGTCGAAGCCGCATCGACAGTGGGAAGGTTATGAGAGAAGTGACCTGAAGGTAGCAGTTGAGGTGATTGACGATAAAGTTCATTTGATGATGGAGGAGGTGGGTGTGGCTATTGATACTTCTTTTGGCTCCACGCCAGGCCGCATTAAGTGCGTGTTCAGTACGACGAACGGTAAGGAGGAAATGGAAGAGACGAGTGTAAGAAGCCAACGTAGATTCCGTGAAGACGGTTTCCAAGCCGGTTGGTATTGAAGCAAATTCCAAGCGAAGGCAGTCCCACGCTGTTGGATGGTAGTCAACAGCCCCCGTTTCGCCGTCTTCAAGGTCTTGTGACAGGAGTGCCTCCTCCTGGGGATTTGTCGACACCACAAATCTAGAGGAACAGTAGTTTTCATGGATATTGAGCGCGAGCTCCAACACAGAAACTGGAACAGCGCTAATAAAAAGTTGACAGGCACACAGGTATGGACGTTATTGAATCGGTGGAATTGCAAGCAAAATACAGGCTGAGGTGGATAATTGAAACAAGATAGCCCAAAACTCAAAGGCTTCAGGATTAAAGATGCGGTAGTGATATCGGCTAGTTGAAAGCGAGACGCTCACCTAAAGCGTGAGGTTAGTTCTTCATCTTCCATGCCAACCGACCTAACAGCGGCCAAGAATGCAGCACTAACTTTGTAAGAAAGGCTCTTCGCCTCCCCGACTGTGGCAGGAATGGGGCGGTCCAAAACACTCCTCACACCGTCTCCCTCAGCTAACAAGTTGTCCAAAAATGAGACATATAGCTCGCCGCGTCCAAGTAACATAACGTCTCGAACCAGGTTTAGGTTGTGCACCAATCCAAATTCGTCAAACATTTGACGCCATACCGTCTCAGAAACATATAGCCAAATATCGCGTATTAGACGTTCTAGGCCTTCATCCACACCGTCAACCAGTTCAGAGTTCTCCAGCTCCACAAAACGTTGGGAGAATGTCGCTTCTAAATGATCAGACAACTCAGTGCCACCCGAACAAACGGCTTTCCCAGCATAAAGAATATCGTTGGCGAGGGTAGGGGATATGATGTTTGGAAACCTGTGTGGAGCGAGTTCATGCTCGCGAGAGACGCAAAACTCTTCATAAGGGTCATTTATTGAACCATAAAGAAGCCAGCTCGACAACTGATGACGAAAAAGCTGCAACAAATGCTTGAGTATTGAGGAGATTGCAGGAGATTTATTCACGAGCAATACAGAGTTGATTATGCAAGAGTTGTTTTGGTGTTGTTTCAAACAGAGGTCGACGAGATGCGTGAGAGAGTTTATCACTGCGCGAAACGGCTCAACTTTAGAGAAAATATAAGTTATTCCAAAGTAAGGGGATTTAAGAAGATCTGATTCCAAGGAGGAGATTGTCCCGCGGTACTCCTCCAAAACTTCATCTAGACCACAAGCCAATGCGGTTAAGTAGAGGCTTCCCGAGCCAGGAACAAAAAAATCGCCAATAAACTTTTGGAGACGCAGGTACTTCTCCCCGATTTGATGTAACTGTTTGACAAGTCCACTCTCACATGGTGCAATAAAGGGAAGTCTTTCTGAGATCAACTTCAGTCGATATTCCGGAGCATGTGAGGAATCATCCGCTGCCAAATGAGCACAAATATCCCCTGGAAACCCATACAAACAAAATATTAGTTCATGAAGCATAACCAAACTCAGAGAACCTTTCAGTACCAATTTAACATCTTAAAACGGGGACAAACCACAAAATAGCATGATTTTATGTTGTAAAACAAGGTTTCTCGGGCTCAAAAGTTCCACGTTTAAATAACAAGTAAGTTAAGTTTTGCAACCACTTTTGATGGAAATTTTATTTGGAATAAAATAATGGTTAAATTACCTAAATTTTTCAAAGTTGAATCATGCGCTTAACTTTGTAAAGATTCTTAGCGAAAATTTAAAAGATGGATCCTAAGTGGTTTTCCGTTTAATTTATTTTCTACCCCGCAAAATCTTCGATTGTTTAAGCTA